CCCCCCCCTTTAATCACTCTCTCATGCTCCTGTGCCCTGTCTGTACCTATCAGTCTCTCGTTAGCGAAGGGATCTGTCCAGTAGCTAAACGCGATTAGGCAGCGCTCCAGAGTCATTCTGATAAACAGATAAATGTGGTTAGCGCCATGCTGCCTCCCTAGCCCTGCTGCTGTAAGGGGAGACCATTTCCTGGGCGCAGGGTCTCTTCCCGTAAAGTCAGGCCCACAGAGACGTCAACAGGAAGGGGAACCTGATCCAGAGCAGAGCCTGGCCTCGTCTGGCAGGGCGGTCACTCATTAGCCAGCCCCAGACCCCCAGCCACACCGCAGCCTTAGCTAAACACCCTGCAGTCTGGCTACCCAGCAGTCCCCGCTCAGTCTGACTGCCTGACTATTCTACAGCACAGTATGGGGCTGTTTTCAGCTGGATCACTGGATCATTATCGCAACATACAGAGATAGAACAGGGGTTGGCATATATCCTGCCTATTCTCTGCACGGTGTATGTGTGTATGTGTATTGGGGGTGGGGCGGGTTCGTCAAAGTGCCAATATATTGGAATATGTTATAGTCCCAGTCAGTTGAATCTAGTTTAAAGACCCACCAAAGAACAGCCACACAGAGGCTTGTGCCAAGGTAGCTTTGAATGGACATTTGTAGCTCAAGAAGTTGCCAGCATATGCCCCTCTCCTGCCCCTCTCTAATGATTGAGGCCAACAGTTGAGAGAGAAGCGTGGTCAACAAACTGTTATTACCTCAATAAAGGCACAAATCAATAGAGCTGAAATGAACAACCAGGCCTGCCAGCTACCGCTGTTCATTTAGAAGTGAAAGAGACACCGCCAAGCGAGGGAGAAAGAGGAGGAGAGGAAAAGAGATGGATGGATACAAAGATATTTGGAGAGATACGGGGGGTTGATAGGCTAAAGACCAGAACTCACCGGGACAAGTCTTGTATCCACCAGACATGACACACAGTGAGGACAAGTGATTTCTCTATCTTCCTTCTGCATCTACCTGTGCTCTCCATCTCTGCCTGGTGGTGACTTCCCTCCACTGAGTGTGTGTGTGCGTGCACATGAAGGCATAGAGAAGTCTGTGTGCATTTCTGTGTGTGTGTGCTGCATTGTGGATAAGTGTGTGTGTTGGAAGTAATAAAGTCCACCCGGGGTTGACTTCGATCCACTGACCCAGCAGGAGGTAAGACTGGACAGCTATGATGGATCACCTAACCTGCTTCTGCCTCTCTCTTCCTCTCTCTCTCCCCTCAACCTCCTTTCCTCTCTCTCTCTCTCTCTCTCCCTCTCTTTTCCTCTCTCCATCTATCCCCTTTCCTCTTCCCACTTTGCCAGTCCAAATGACCTTATACTCAGTGGAAGGATGAATAGAGTCGCTTGTGCATTCATTGCACAAATAAAGTGTTTGTTTGAACAGAAAATGACCATGAACATGTGGTTAAATGTTTATGTGCATAGTGCATAGTGTCATGTATGGTCTACTGTCTATAGCGCATGGTTTGTTCCTCTGTCTAAGAGGTCATGCTGTCCTTGTGCCATGTATATCCTACGTACTATGAAACTCAAGAGGTTTTCAATACATCTTTGTACCAGTGTTACCAAGACAGATTCTTGTGAATTTATTGTGCTTGGCAACTAGTGTGAGCAGACACATGAGAGGAGCAGAGGCACTGTACCTTAGGTAATCTCTCTTGATCTCCAGGGTGTCTGGGAATGACCTTCTGTAACCTCTGGAAGCCGTAGTCTATGGTTGGCTCGTTCAGCGCTGAGCAGGAAGTGGAGGGAAGCAGGCAGAGAGAGAAAAAAAACATTTACAGCTTGATCCTTAATGACGAATACACCTAATGTTCAAAAGCACCAGAGAAGGTACGGCGGGAGAAGCAAGTGACAGCAGACATAACTGAATCCATGAATATTTCAACATTAAACTAACCACGCTGAAAAATGTGGGTTTTCTCTATTAGGTCTGGTGTGTGTCTTTGTTTGCCTGTGATGTAATGAATCTCTCTCTGTCGCCCGCTTTGGTGGTTAATAAAAAGACTGTCAGGAATCAGGGAAAGTGAATGTGTGTGTGTGTCCTGTGGTCTTGCGTTGATCAGCGACTAATATAAGCAATTACAGAGCTTGGTTCCAATATAACAAAGGCTTGATCGCTCCAGGGAACAAGCTAAACACACACATGCGCGCAC